CATGACAGACATTTATGACATAAAATGGTTCAAGATTAATTCCATGTCAATCTCTTCTGTCTGAATTCCCTACTGAGACAAACAAAATTGGTCAAATACAGTGGGACTAGTGCCAAAGTAAATACAGATTTTCTTGAAAAATAATGGAGGGAGAGGTTTCCTTCTGCTTTAAAGTTTAAGTCTGGTTAAAAAGAAGGGTGGAGAAATAGAATGTTTTCACACAAATCGGGCAGCAAAACTAACTAAAAGCACCAGCTCAGCAAAATTAGAAAGTGCTATGTTAGGAATTATTAAGAAAGGGACAAAAATGTTCAAACAGCAGACCTAGTAACATAGACCTTTACACCAAAAAAATCGACAAGTTCTTTAAAGCACAGGAGAAGGATTAAATTGTGGTGAGAGAGACACTCTGCTTCCTACGAAGTATTTCTCTGCACCATTTACCATCAACTGTGAAGTGGGCAGCTGGACCCACCTGACTGTACCCAGCCATTTGCAGTTCAACTAATCCTGGGAAGAGGGCTGTAAGTGAAAAGGAAAGAAACCAGAGGAATTTGTATAAAAGAAAGAATAAAGGAATGCTGCATTCTTCAGCCAGAGAAGAGCAGAAAGTCCATTGTTATTTTTTTTCTTCCTTGTCAGAAGCAACTTGAGAGACTGCAAGTCACTTCTGGTGTGAGAGAATTGGGGGTCTGCAAGGGCGTTGCCCAGGGGATACCCAGATGTTTTACCATCATGTGGGAGGCTTCTCTCATGTCCTCACATGGGAAGCTGGAACTGACAGATGGGAGCTCACTCCATCTCGCTGATTCAAACCACCAACCTTCAGTTCAGCCAGCACAAGGGTTTAACCCATTGTGCCACCATGGCTCCTGTAAATTGGAATGAGGGATGGGGACAGGAACAACATACCATTTAGTGTGCTGCATGTATCTATTGTCTCTCTATTGTAACTTTAATATTAGGCAATTTATTAAAATTGATCAAAAAGACAGAAAAAAGTATTGAGAGATATGCCCAGCAGAAGACTATGAACAAGGATCGATGTGACCATCTGACTAATCACTGCTGGAAAATGAAATGGTCAACTGAAAGCAGGAACAGTTTTATCCATTGCTTATATTCTTCTATTCATAAAGAGCAGAGGCAGAAATAGCAGAAGAGGGAGAATTGTTCAAGAATTGCTAGTAAACATAGAGCAGTGCTTCCTGCTATGTTTCCTGCCTGATAGGATCAAACATTATTAATATGAACATCGAGCCTGGGCTTTGACAGTGCGGTTGGTGACCAGAGAGACAGGAAATCTAGAAAAAAGGAATTATGGCTGCTTTGTTTGACTTTGAACTGAAATGCTGATTTGTCCACCACTTCTTTAAGAAGTAGCATAGCAGCTTTTGGAATACTTCCTGTGCTTTGTCCCTATGGGTGTTCAGAGTTTCTTCAAAACATTGACACAAGAATGTGATGTGAGTGCACGTATGCATTTTAGGCATGCAGTAAGTTTGCAAAGAATATGGATTTTAAAAAAACACAAGTGACTTAAAAGTAAGAGAGCCTACTCTAATCTGGCCTCATCCAGATATGCTGATTGAGGGTTGCCAAATGTTACAATTATTATGCAAGCACCCCCTGCTGAATTCTGCTTCTACGCACCCATCAATGGGATAGGAGCCCTGTCCCTCATTTGGCAACCTAGCTGTATGGTATCTCCCATCATAGCCAGCTAATGGGCTCTTTGGGCTGAGGAAGGTAGATACTACACATCTGTTGGGTGAGCTGTGGTGGCGCAATGAGTTAAACCTTTGTGCCGGCTGAACTGCTGACCTGAAGGTCGGCAGTTTGAATCCACAAGGTGGGATGAGCTCCCATCTGTCAGGTCCAGCTTCCCATGGGGGACATGAGAGAAGCCTCCCACAGGGTGGTAACACATCCGGGCATCCCCTGGGCAACGTCTCTGCAGATGGCCAGTTCTCGCATACCAGAAGCAACTTGCAGTTTCTCAAGTCGCTTCTGACATGATAAAAAAAAATCTGTTGGGCACCAAACTGAGAAAATCTGAGATGAGATGTAAATGATAAAAGAACCAGTTTACCATCCCATGCTGTCTAGAACTCTTAAAAATAAAAACAATCACAGGGACAGAGGTTCTCCTTTGTGTTTTGAAAGGACACAATTTAATCAAAGTGCAGTTATATAATAAACATGGAAGTCCCCCCAACAAAACTCATTACAATCAAATTTCTTTACTAAAACAGGTTTTAGAGGAGAATTGTAATTCTTACTTTCTGGGGAAGGGGAATAAAAAACAATTTTGGGGGGAGGGGTGGATGGTCACCCCTTTGCTTCTGAAGGGGGCTCAAATATCAGGAAAAAGACCTTGAAGGTCACTATGGCCTGAAGATCACATAATTTCCTGTCCTGATTTAGAACCAGCCATACAGGGTGTGCTGATTGCAATGCCAAAGAAGTCAAAAATGAAAATAACGACACAGAAAAATAACCATTTCTTAACAATGTAATTAGGCATGTCAGTGGAGTGGGGGTCAGATGGGAAGTACTCCTATCAATGATAATGTCAGTTGAACATAATTCAGAACGTAAAACAAAATTGAGCTGTGCCACTATTTGTCTGCATTGGTAACAGGAAAAAAAATGCATTTTTGAGGGCAACTGATTGGTGACAATAAAGGAAATAAATGCTTCATCATCACATTTCAACCTTCATTTCCTCTAGAGTACATTTTAAGGCTCTATCCATCATATTTACCTTATAGTGGATACATTAACCAGTGGCTTTCTCTCACACATTTTAACTGATTACATATTGTGGAAAACAAAGGTCCCTTCCACACAGCTCTTGATCCTGGAATACCGAGGCAGAAAATCCCACAATATCTGCTTTGAACTGGATTATCTGAGTCCACACTCAGATAATGTGGGATTTTCTGCCTTGATATTCTGGGGTATAGGGCTGTGTGGAAGGGCCCATAGACGCAGATTTACTTCAAGACTCTGCTCTGTGCTGAAACATATAAAGTTGGGGGAAAGTGTCATATGGGTACATTAATTTAAAAATCTCACAACATATTGGTAGATGGGACACTCAACTTCTGTCAAAAGAAAATGGCAAAGGGGTGGATTAGAAGGGTCAGCAAATCAGGACCACAATCCAAAACTGACTAAAGCAGAACTTGGGAAAGGTGCCTTTTCTACTAATCCCCCAGACGAGAGCAACTTTTCCAGTTTCTCAGCTAGGACCCTTCCACTCAGCCCTATATCCCAGAATACCAAGGCAGAAAACCCCACAATATTTGCTTTGAACTGGGTTATCTGAATCCACACTCAGATATTGTGGGATTTTCTGCCTTGATATTCTGGGATATAGGGCTGAGTGGAAGGGCCCCTAGATAAGTGAGCTGTGACAGTTAAAGCAAGCCGAAATATGAGGTGTAAACACTGGATGTGTTCACTGACTTAGGAGGACCAGTGGGGAGTTTCCTAATGATAATTAAAGCACATTAAAATGCAAACATATATTTAGTTTATGGAAAAGTATAATAGCATTTATTTTGTATCACTGGGCTACCAGACTAAACAAGTCGTTATTCTGATGCAGTCACGTGATTCCTATGTTCTTCTGTGTCAAGTGGAAGGAATATGAGTGTTGGCATTCCTTCAAAGGATTAAACACAGCCACGCTTCCCCCACAGAAAATATAGCTAGTACTAAGGATGAGAAAACTTTTATCTACATCTTGCACAAATATAAGACAGAGAAATATCCATCTGGGCAACAGTAACATTGCAGAAGGGATTAAGACAGTGTTTCTCAACCTTCCTAATGCCGTGACCCCTTAATACAATTCTTCATGTTGTGGTGACCCCAAACCATAACATTATTTTTCTTGCTACTTCACAACTGTAATTTTCCTACTGTTATGAATCGTAATGTAAATATCTGATATACAGGATGCATTTTCATTCACTGGACCAAATTTGGCACAAATACCTGATACATCCAAATTCGAATACTGGTGGGGTTGGGGGAGATTAATTTTGTGATTTGGGAGTTGTAGTTGCTGGGGTTTATAGTTAATGTACATTCAAAGAGCATTCTGAACTCAACCAACGATGGAATTGAACCAAACTTGGCACAGAACTCCCATGACCTACAGAAAATACTGGAAGGTTTTGGTGGGCATTTACCTTTAGGTTTGGAGTTGTAGTTCACCTACATCTAGAGTGCGCTGTGAACCCAAACAACAATGGATCTGGACCAAACTTGGCACAAATACTCAATATGCCCAAATGTGAACACTGGTGGAGTTTGGGGAAAATAGACCTTGACATTTGGGAGTCGTAGTTGCTGGGATTTATAGTTCACCTACAATCAATGAGCATTCTGAAGCCCACCAACAATAGAATTGGGCCAAACTTGGCACACAGAACTCTCATAACCAACAGATAACACTATGTTTTCTGATTGATGGTCTTTGGCGACCCCTCTGACACCCCCTCGTGACCCCCCAGGGGTCCTAACCCCCAGGTTGAGAAACACTGGATTAAGAAGTTATATGTAACAAGAAGAGCAAGAATCTGAACTATAGTTGAGAAATACTTTTAAAAACAGCCAATGAGGACAAAATCATTGATTCTCAGAAGATCTTCAATGCTGCAGAATCTGGAGGCAAGAAAGTATGGCTGGCATTAAATTCCTCTTTTCTTCCTTGTTTTAACATGAAAAACATCCTTTTGTACCTCTCCTTTGTAATGGGATTCATGCTCCACATTAATCCAAAACTCATCTTCCTTTCTGCAGGGGAAGTTCATTGTTTTTCCCCCTCTGCCTATTTTACAAGAAAGTTGGGAGGCAACAACAACCCATGATAACATCCCCTCTGTTTATCTGCTTCCAGTGTAAGTTGAACTTCTCTTATTGTGCAGATAGTATGCACAATTTACGACTTAACAAAAATATCCAAGGTGTTTCAAAATGATGGATCCATTTTCAAAGCAATATATTTCACAATGGCAACATGTTATACTTACACAAAAAATTACAAATCGTTGAATGAGTTATCAAGTTACCAAGCTGTACTAATCATTTTGAGTGAGAAACAAATCTAAAAAATAATTTCACGAATTGAGAATATCTCATTAGGTCTTATGTGGCAGGGTCACCATCTTGCAAATAATTGTGGCCAGAGGCTATTTGTGGGCTGGGAGAGGCATCTAGCTGCAATTATGGGAACTCAGTGCCCCGCATTTTCAAGTAGCAAGACTTTCATTCCTGGTTGCAGAGATACAGAGATTTCAAATCAGGTCCATATTTTTTAAACATTTTGCGTAAGTAATCCCAACTGTTCATTTTTATGTCACTGCTGAAAAAGGCTTGCTTGAAAGTGAACAGCATAGCTTAAGCAAAATTGGTTTGGCCATATCATACATAATGCCTGGACAATGAAAGGATTTATATTAGTAATCAGACATCTGCATCTAAGCCATAGGCAATCATCTGGTTAGATCATGTGTGTTATCCAGCTACATTTCAAATATTATGTGTTCAAGAGGTTCAAACGTTCTTTCTTTCTTTTTGTCCTTAGGACTGCTAAACCCTCTTCTACCAATTCATATTACAACTTTTTCTCTTCCCTGCTTTCCATGCACAATTTTCCATTCACTTAGGGAGGAGGGAGAGTCGTGGCCAAAGAGACAAGGCTGGTCTTCTTGAAGCATGAGTCACACACCCCAAAGAAGATGGATATACATGTCTTTGGTTGTTCTTTGTACACTTTCTTCACCTTATCCAAAACCTCTGCCCACTTTCATTGCCTACATTGTGTCAAGGCATTACCCAACACAACACTTTCAATATGAATACTGAGCATTATTAGATTCTGAGAAAGTAACACAATAATAAAATAGTGAGATTTTGTCCTGCTTTGGAGCTGGTGCTTAATTTTCCTTCAAAAGCTTAGTTATGGCTCTGCATTCTTCAGTGGTTACATAGAGGAAGGAAGCAGACGAAACACCACATCAATATAAATGGACAGTGCATGTCAAAAGCATGGTTTACAGCTGGCGATTGATCACCACTCCCCCATCCGTACAAAGGCTTCAGATTTTTAGAAGTATTGCATAAGGTCTCCTTATGGCAAAGAGCAGGATAAAAAGTTCCTCGTCTCCAAATGAAAGGAAATCTGTAGAAAGGCCGAATTCAATGTCCGGCATTGGCTATAACATAGTTTTGCTATTTAAAGCTGGGCTAATATTAAAAGCTATGAGACTCACAGATGTTGCCACTGTCCAAAAATGGGGGAACAACTGAAATGAGCAATTAAACTTATATTAACATTAAGACATTAAAATGTATACTGAAAAGCTATCTTAGAATGATTCATATCGAAGATCTAATTCATAAAAAGGTAACCATTTTACAAATCCCTCTGCAATGAATGAACTCACTTTCTCCTCTATTTGCTTATCTCATTTCTATTTTTCAGAATCACCATAGCTCACAGCTGATGAAAAAACACTTAGTCTGACAGTCTGTGAAAGGATTGTCCTGAAGTATGCTATTTCTGCCTAGTTCAAGTAATCCTGTGTTGTCTAAGTGGAGTAGAAGTATTACAGCAATGAATCTACTTCCAGAGTTTATGGGACAGTTGAGAATGATGTCTCTCCCCTTTTCAAAGCAATCTCTAAGGACACCAGGCTAAATAGAAGAAGAAAGTACAGTCACCCAATTTATACTCGAAATGGAGTGGCAGTTTGTCACTCTCTTCTAAGTGCTACAGTTATTTCTTTTAGGACCTCATCACAAAGGTCCATGGATTCACCACACATCATGGTGATACAATTACTATTACCTAATTGAAATAGAGACAACTCTTTTTCTGTATTATAATTTTACAGAAAATCAAATTTACCCTGGAAAGCATGCCTTGGCTTGAAAACATGTTTATTATTGGGTTTTTAATTTGATTTTTTCAATTAATAGTATGGTTGTGAAGGTGCAAAATTTATTTTAATCTTAAATGTGATTTAGCTGCAAGTATCAGTCTAAACTCCCAACCCAAATAATCATTAAAAGAAAGCACGAAAACTAATGTTACGTACACTCATGCAGGTAATTCTGCATCTTCTTATACACATTAAGACTAGCATATATTGTCAAGAAATGGCTTGATGACTCTATTTATATCAGCTCAATTCAAAATAGTGATATTATTCGGTGGCTTCCATATACAGAGTGAACATTACAAGGTTAAACTAGCAGAATAGTTTTCATGCTGCAATTTATTTAAGTTTTCATATGGCCAAATGGTAGGTGTTACAATGTCTTTAACCCCTCTGCCTATTATGAAACAAAGCATTCACACTGTCCTTGAGACTGCAGAATGGCTGAGAAATACATTTTCCCACATGGAAACAATCTCTGCGAAGGGAACTTGTTATATATGAAACCACCATGACTGGCTTTCAACAACAATTTTTTAAAAACTCATTTGGAAAGAAGCAACTTGTAAGGTGCACAATTCACAGAATTCTCACCTTAGTGTAACACAGGTGAAATCAATAAGACTCCACTAGTTTAACTGATCATTGGGATGTCCCTTTGCTCTATCATAGAAAAGACAACATATATAGTTTGTAATGGATTAACAACTCACTTCAAACATTAACTGAATGCATAAGGTGGTATGAGGGAATGAGAATGGCCATGGCTGTTTGTTCTCCATCCGATAACATATTTTCATCCCTTTTCACAAGAGTAGATCTGAAGTAGGAACTGCCATGCAATGACTTTTATGTGCATAGACATATTTGTGAGTTTTCAGCTTCATTTAGGAGAATAATAGGTGGTGGGCTCCAAATCATCAGACATTCCCTAAATATATGGCTGATTGGAGATAGGAGTTGATCAGACGTGTGAAGCTAGATGTGGATCTAGCAGATATAGCTCAGAGCCTGGAAAAGTTATTTTTGTGGAGTACAACTCCTCCAGGGGCTAAAATGCTAAAGTAATGTTTCTAAGATCTGGGGAATATTTGAAGTGGACTTAAATCTATTTTCTAATCTTCTGCCATAGATATTTCATTTTGAGAGTAGGACTACTGCAACCTTCCATGATCTGAAAATCTGAAACCTTTGCCTATCCACCCAGGAGATCTGACACTTGGAAAGAGAGGAAAACAAATTGTAAATGGCTTTTTATCCACAATCCATCCCAAGTTACATCAACACTTGGGTTCTGGTGTCAGGGAGTCGAAGTCCAACCAAACCTCCACAGACCAGAACTGTAGAAGCCAAAAGAATAGGAATCGATTTGGCGATGACAACAAAAGAACCAAATATTAAATTCCCAAGAACAGCTGCTGCTTTGCATAATGCATTTAGGAAGCCAAAGCCCGTTGCCCTGAAAGAGAAAGAGATGGAGAAAGAAGAGTTAACATGGGTAGGAAGAAGTAAACTAGGAAAGAAAAGCATAGTGAAGAGAGCAACTATATGGTAGTTTAAAAGACATTTCTGAAAATGCCTAACACATGTAGAAATACAAGATCTCTGTACTTAAAATAATGCAATATGCCTTCTGAAAAAATTACCCCCTAAAATAATAATTTATCTGGAGGAGATAAATTCTTTTTTTTTCAAAGGCAGTTTGGAAACAAAGAGTCTTGTGGGAATTATTGAAATAGAGCTAAATGACTATAGGTTTGACACCATAACCTTCCTGAATGAAGAAAACAAACACCTTCACTTGTTATGTTCCCCAAAACATCATGCCTGGGGATTGAGATTGGTCTAAATAAATGGACAAGACTGACCCAATGACTCTTTTCCAATCAAACTCCAAAACTCAGTTACTGAACTCCTAAGGAAGAGTGGAATTGGGAACTTCTAGGTTGGATTATAAAAACAAAGAAACATAAGAATAAGATGCAATAAGCACATTAAAATAGCAAAATTATATTAAAACTAAAGCTTTTGCCTGGTACCAAAATGGTATCAATACATTCAGCAGGCCTCTTTGGGGAGCCATCCTGAGCTTGGATCACCAAGCTTGATAATTCATTCATTCATGTTAATTATGAGATTACCCGCGTTGTCTTTGCCTTTAGCAAATATAATTTGTAATTTAAATTAATTCATAACTTAGACATTAATTGTCAGAAACTGGATTTTCCAGTAATTACTATAGCATTCTGCTAATGCACAAATTAGGATGGACTAATCGGGGGGATGGCTGGGGAAGACAAAATGAGGATACAGCATGCTGATAAGAATTTTACAAATCTAAATGAAATTTTCTTTCCATTCACAAATTTTTAGTATTGCAGAGTTAGACAATGAAAATTATTCATGCCTAACAATTCTTGTATTTGTTGTGTTTGCATTCTCTTAATAAATTTGCCTGCCTTTTTATTTGGATTTATTACTGCAATAATAGAAATTTATGGAATGAAGAAAAATTCATGGGGGGGGGGGGGACACACAAGAATTTGGGGACAATGCCTTCATTTTTGTCCCCTCTCCCAGTAGCTACACAACAGCATTCAAACTTAAGACAAGCAATTTTGTCAGCAAAGTTAAGAACTCATCACTGCAGGCATCAGATGAGAAAGGTATTGGGGGAGATAAATGGAAGGAATGTAATGGATTAAACCAGAAGTGTTTATTGAAACCTTTCTTGCAAGATGTCCACCTCTGTCCCAGAGAGAAACAACAAGGAGATAATGATCCTCTCAAGAATAGAAAATATGTATGTGTTTTTAAGCAAGCCACCTCTTTAAGAAGACTTTATTCAAGTGCTGATGAGACTACAACCAGGACCTTATCACATTAGGAAATACTCAGTTTCTGAGACTGTTTGAGAATGATTTCAAAGGGGTCCCATCACATGATGTTTGCCTCATCCTGTCAGTATTTTGTCAAAAATTGTCTGCAAAGCATCACAGAAACTGATTATTCTCAGATGGTATTCAAATAGCATTTCTTCCATTGCTGAAGCACTGTTTTTGTGTGTGATAGGAAAATCTGTATGCATCCCATTAGCAACTATACTTTTTACAAGGTAAGAGGACCTTATCACATTGGGACATAGTCTGTTTAAATCAGTATGCATCCCAGATTCTTTTAAGGGCTGAATGCATACTGTATTGAGTCAGGATGCATACTCTCCTCATCACACCTGATTATTACAATTCTTATGATTTGAAAAAACTGCACTTGGACTCATCACACCACAAAAGGCTGGCTCCTCCCAATCCATTCAAAACACCCTCTACATTACTCTATGACCTTTGAAAAAGTATTGTTGCTGGTGGGGTGCATACAGATTTTCCTATCACACACAAAAACAGCGCTTCCACAATGGAAGAATATGTAGCATTTCAAAAAACACGATTAGAATTCTGTCTGCAAATAATCCATTTCTGTGACGCTTTGCAGATGGATTTCAACGGAATACTGATGGGATGGGGCATACATCATGTTCAAAATCATTCTCAAAGTCTCATAAATTGAGTATTTCCTAATGTGATAAGTTCCATAGAGTGATGTAGGGGATGTTCTGAATGGATTTGGAGAAGCCAGCCTTCCATGATGTGATGAGTCAAAGCGCAGTATTTTCAAATTGTAAGAATAACAATAATCAGGTGTGATGAGGAGAGTATTTATCCTGTCTCAATACAATATGCATCTAGCCTAAAAAAATAGGGGATGCATACTGATATAAATGGATTATATCCCAATATGATAAGGTCCCCAGACAGGCCATGAATGTTATCAGTTCAAAAAATGATTAGTGGCTTGAATACATAATACTGAGGTGATAGGGCATCTTATAGACCTTTCGGAAACAGAAACAAATGAAGAACCATTTTTTCCAAAGCATTTTATATAGAATTCAGAAGGACTTCCACGCTATCTCTTGTTGAACACTTGGTTACTGAAAAGAAGTGAGTCTAAAAGCACAGTGTTAAAGGGGAGGGGGTTGGGGCTGGTACTATATCCATAAATCCATGCTGGTAAGAATGGATAGAGAACCAGTGTGTGTAGTGTCTTCAGTGTTGGACTAGGAACCTGGGAGACCAGCATTTGAATCCCTGCTCAGTCATGGAAACCCACTGGTCGACCATGGGCAAGTCATATTCTTTTAGCCTTGGAAGAAGCTTCTGCACAACTTCTGCCAAGAAAACCCTATGATAGTTTAGCCTTTTTAATGTTGTAATCAGAAATAACTTTAAGGCCCACAAAAACAACAAAGAAAAATTAAGAGAGCCAACGTGGTATAATGGTTTGAGCATTGGACTACAATTCTGGAGACCAAGAATGATGCAACTTCAAGATAATAACACAGACTGGGATTTATACAGATCATATTTAAGCTTCCAAAAGGGCCAATGGCTCCGTGTCCTTATGACTGGATATGTTGTTACTGCAAAATGAGTTGCTTTAAAAAGACACATATACACCAATTATTTGAAACTGCATACATCTTCATGCCACTGTATGGATATTCAAAAGACACAGTGACACATAAATATCCAGGCTATTCAAAGGTATGAGTTTAGGCAGAAATCTAAAAAGTTACAGGAGAGACAACTGAAGACATTTAAGTTTTGCTGGGGTAGGTGATAGCAGCAGGGGAGAAAAGGATGTGAGCACAACAGTTAAACTCTTGTAGAAAGTTTTTATATATCAGAAATCTGCATATCTGTGCTGGCTTCTCTACCCTGGTACCATTATTTTGAAGGTTCCAGAGTATCCATAAATGGTTGCAGAAAGTTCCCAGATATATATCAGCTGATATTCTAAAACCATAAAAGGAAAAGCCATCTCATCAAAGTTAGCCTTCTCCTTCAACACACCAATTGTCCACCTAATTGGTCTTGTCCACTCAGTAGGGTCTAATAATTCACTTCCAATTTGAATGTAAGGTCCTGGTGATCACTCCCAAAGCCACAAATGGCTTGGAACTTCAATACTTGAAAAGGTGCCTCCCCCAATCTATGCCTGGTTGAGATCTGATAGAGATCTGATGTTTTAGCCTTCAACTAAAAAGAAATCCAGAAATCTTAATAGCTAGTAAACTGGATGGGATTTCTGGGAATTGTTGGGCAAAACACCAGGGGACCCACAGATTGAGAACCACTGCAATAGAAGAAGGTGCAGTGGAGAACCTGCTTTGTTTGGATCCCAAAGTTACATGTTGGACATAGGTAATACTTATATGAATACATTTTAAACACCTGTTCTGTGTATTACTTTGTATTGTCGAATGCAATATTGTGTACTGCTTATTTGAAAAGGTTTCATTAGAGAGAAACTGCTGTTTCCACAGTTAAAAATACAGAGTTGAATATGTTAAGAAAACTTGATGTTTCTTGTATTTTAAGGACTGAAGAGGAGAAAAGCTCTGTTGCTGAGCTTATCTGAAATCAGCTACTGCAGAGCACAAGTTCAAGGCAACAGACTGAAATAATCAGGATTATATTGCATATAAATCTTTCCTAAGATAATATCTGAAGAAAAATATACCACAGTAGTCTACAAATAAAGATATCCAAGAAAGATTAGGGTAAGTAGTGACCACATAAATGGAGTAAAATTCCACATTCTGCTTGCCTAGGTAGAAAAAGAGCTTAATAAATGAAAAGAGAGGGGGAAATAACAAAAGGTTGTAGTGAAACATGATATTGGATGGAATTCTCTCGATGACATACATGTATTTAATTCTGGGTTTGTTTTCTTTTGTGCAGATTGTAAGGAACTATCCAGTGTTTAATATGGGGCAAAATGTATATGAGCCCTATAGCTCAGGCGTGGGCAAACTTTCTAACATGGGGGGTCACATGGTGGACCGGAGTGGGGTGCGTGGGTGGGTTGAGAGGGGGGGTTCTCCCCAAGCCCCCTACCTTCCCCATTCCTCCCCTTCCTCTTCTCTTTTGGAGGCAGAAAGTGAAGGAAAGACAGGAAATGTTTGGATCCTGAAAGGGTTGACCTTGGTCAGGATGAGATGGTGGACGGGAGAGAAAAAGTGTATCTGTTATATCCCGTATTGCTTAGTCCTGATATAGAATCCTAGAGTCCTATTGTTGGAAGAGACCCCCAAGGGCCATCCAGTCCAACCCCCTGCCATACAGGAAGGAACAAACAAAGCACTCCCAATAGACAGCCTCTGTGGAAAAGCCTCCAGAGAAGGATACTCCATCACACTCTCTAGGAAGTTCTTCCTAATCTTTTCAGTCAAATCTCTTTCCCTGCCATTTGAAACCACTGTTCCTTTGTGCCCTGGTCTCTGGGGCAGCAGAAATTCAGTTTTCCCCCCCTCAATCCTCCTCAATGGAGCACCCTTTTAAATCTTGAAACATGGTTCTCATGTTCCCTCTCTCCCCTCTCTTCTCCCAGCTAAACATCCCCCAGGAGAATAAGAGGAAGGAAAAAGAGAAAGAAGAAAGGGTGGAAGAGAAGGATGGAAGGACGGAAGGAAGGGTGGAAGGGAATGGAGGGAGGGAGGAAAAAGAAGAAAGGAAAAACAAAAGGGAAGGAAGGAGAGGGGGAGGGAGGAAAGAGGGAAGAAAAGAAGGATGAAAGGGTGTGAGGGAATGGAGGGAAGGAGAAAGAGGGAGGCAAGGAAAGGGAAGGAGGAAAGAAAGTTGAAGGAAGCTAGGACAGGATGGTGAGAGAGACAAGGGCCTGAGAAAAGAGCCCAAGGGGCCACATCCAGCCCCTGGGCCTGGGTTTGCCCATATCTGTTGTAGATGGTTGAAGGACTTCCAATTACTTTCAATGAGAGGAAACTTTATTTTGAAATGTTACATGTTTTTAAATGGTAAAGCCCTGTGGACGGTAAGGTAGGGAGATTAAGAAATAGTTCCTCTGCCTTAGTACCATAGTCCAGAAGGGGTTTTAGATCATCCAGAGTCCCTGAGATTGCAGCACTGCTTCACTTTAGGACTGCAGCCTTAATCAGATGGTCACTAATATTGGCATGGTTTTATATATGCCTGGTGGGAAGAAAAACACTTTAGCTCAACAGAGCTTTTGCAGAGCTCATCAAGTGCATTATTACAGAAGAGTAATAAGCCTTGAAAGTGCCTAATCCATAAAAAGTTGAGGGAAACAACAACTAATGCTGGTTTTTCAACCACGTTATATGACACAACTAACAAAAACAAGACTGGAACATTGTTATGTTCTTTCCACAGGATGGCAGTAGACACTTGCTGTGCTAATGTCTCCAAAATTATACTCAACCCCCTGACAGGATTATACATAGATAATACTTATAACAAAGGAGAGAGGCCAGTTGAAAAGGAAACCTGAAAAGCATGTACTAAGGAGAGGGAAGGGAAGACACTGTTAAACAATGGGTATGTGTATGTGTGTTTTAATTATACTCAAACAGGAAAAAAGTGTATATTTTCAAAAATGAAAAAACAACTTTTAAAAGATAGTAATACAATTCTCATTCACAATCTCCTACTTTGCCATGTCATTGAGGCAAGGAGGTGATTCTAAAAGCTATAACAGTGAATGTCATATTCAGGCAAGTTCTACAATGTTGGCATTCCCAGTCATGGGTTGTATGCTTTGATTTGCTTGCAAAAATGCAGATGCCATGCCATAAACAGATCTATGAACTCAAGTAGCCTTCAAAGAAATAGCTGTCACTATAGTCCGTCACTACATAAAATGACTGGATGGCTCTTGTGGTCCCTTACAACTCTTTGATTATATTATTAATAATGGAAGTGTTAAGTATTAACCAGAAGAACAATTTAATGTTTTGGATTTATTAATATCCATTGCAAGAGAACACGCTGCTAATCTAGAAACCAAGGGTCACACTTTATTGCTTGCTTGGTGGCTGATCGGAACAACAGTCATACTGGATTAATCCAAACTGAGTAGCTTAGTACATTGTCTCTGACATTGACCAATGTCAGCAGAGATCCAAGAAAATATACCATCTGTAGGTCCACAATTTATGACTAAGTCAAACAGGGCCAGTCCTGCAGATAACTAGGTGATTCCTTTGCTTGCTTTCCTCCAATATGAAGGTGGATGTATAACTTCTTTAAAATACAGAAGCATGCCCAGATAGCAATGAAAAGGAAAATATGGTCATTTATTCTATCTCGTTTGATGATGATGATGACGACGACAATGATAATAATGATGTTTTGGAAAGGATTTAAAACACAGTAAAAATATAAAAATGTACCTCCTGTCTGTAGGATAAAGTTCCACAGTAATGACGTCAAGGGAATTCCACGCCGAAATCGTGAGGCCATTGTATAGACACAGCATGCCTATCATCATTGATTCACTTGTACCAAACCATAGGAAAAAACAACTAATCCCAGAAAGAATCATAGAGCCACCTGTAGGCAAAAAGTGAGAATTACTACTTATGTTGTCTTAGTCTTTACTACACTGTAATTCCATACTAACGTCAAGATCTTCTACCAGAAGTAACCTGCATCCTGCAAACACGCTAGACCCACAGCATCTAGACTAGTGAACACTTGAGCTGCGGCAATCATGTTTATCCTACTTGTTCATCACTACAAGGCCCAATTGATGGCATACAGGAACAATTTGTCTGCTCCCTGAGCTCTAGGTGAAATGATAAGAGATCATTTCCCTACCATGCTTTTCACTGATCCATGATTTCTGATCTCAGTCTGTATTCTGCCTAGACTTCTTGTTGACTATTCTCACCTGAGCTTTCTGGCTAGATCTGTGCCTCCCCAACCCTTCTATGATCTTGGTCATTCCAAGAAAGACAACTGATTCATGTGGGGTTATTCCACTTGGCTTCACAAATAAGACCTAGGTCAGTGGTTCTCAATCTATGGATCCCCAGGTGTTTTGGCCTACAATAACAATAAATAATAACTTTATTTTTATACCCCGCTTCCATCTCCTCTAAGAGACTTGGGGTGGCTTACCAAGGGACAAGCCCAGGGAGCACAAAATTAAAAACATAACACAATAAGATAGCATCAAAACAAAACCAAATAAAAACATATCACAGTAAAGTATAACCATAAAAACAGTAACATACAGAACAATAAAAGGGCTGAGTTCAGAGGACTCCGGGTATGTGCAAATTCCTAGATAGAGCTAAGGGAAAGTGCAAAATTCAGAAGGCGGGACTGGGAGGATAATGGGCGTCAAAATGTCAGGATTGTAGAGCGGAGGGCCATGCTAAAGTGCTGGAACTTAGGTAACATTGGACCAATTCTTTGGAACTGTGTAGTCAAAGGCACAGCGGAACATCCATGTTTTTAGGTTCTTGCAGAAGGTTTGCAGGGTAGGTGCCAGTCTAATCTCCCTAGGAAGAGAGTTCCAGAGCCGGGAGGGGTGGGGGACACCACCCAGAAATCCCAGCCAGTTTACCAGCTGTTAGGATTTCTGAGAGTTAAAAGCCAAAACATCTGGGGCCCCACTGGTTGAGAACCATTGACCTAGGCCTTATTTGTGAAACTTTGTCAAGTGGAATAACCCACATGAATCAGTTGTCTTTCTTGAAATGACTAAGCCCACAGGTTGAGAACCACTGGCCTAAGTAGATGGTACACGAGCAGATACTAATAGTATTCACTTGACTAAAAAAATCATTTGGCCCTAGTCCTCACATGGCTGAGAGGGTGGTCCCTGAAATCCTTCAATAACATCTTAACTTAGAACAGAGATAGAATGTAACATTCTGACTTTACTATTGCCATCTTTTTGGTCCTGTATGATTTTTAATATTTTTGGCTGATGCAAAGTTTGGCATAATGCATTGTATGCTTTGGAGCTGGCCTGATAAGGTTATTGCTGATTTATGGATTTTGGTGTATTTTGCTACATGGCCAACATATGGCTACCCATCAATATATGGGCATGTATCAATAAATACTCATCAGCAAAAGTACAGAATTCCTCATCAGCAAAAGTTAAAACGAACAAAGCCAGTGGGGAAAATATAACATTTAGGATGATACTGAACTTATTAAAAGAATGAATAACATTTACTTTATATTTCCCTGAGGATTGTTTTTAAATAGTTTTTATAAAATTATTTTTAAAACTCATTTCCTACTTCACCATACAGAACCAGTTAAAGCATTTTAATAATCCATTTTAATGAAAAACATACCTAACATTGTTAAACGCCCAATTCTGTCCATCAGAAGAGCTGAGACAATATTTCCTGGTAATACTGCTAAAGTCCCCAGAAAATTAACAAAATAAATCCAATAGGCACTGTAGTCATCATCAAAGGAGATCTGACATCCTGTCTTGTTGTGATAGAATGTACAGTTTATAAATTCACTGCCAGGATATTTGTATGGCTCAAGATCTAGGGAAACAGAGAAAATGACAGAACAATATCAGGTAGTTGTGAAAGTATTTGATCTTAAAACATTTCAGATGATAGTGCTTTTTGTATAAAACACTTGGATGTCATTTCAAAACCTTTCAAAAATTCAAGGCTTTTAAAAAGTAATTGGTAGCTGATGCTTTCATAAGTAAAGGTAAAGGTTTCCTCTTGACATCAAGTCTAGTCATGTCTGACTCTGGGGGTGTTGCTCATCTCCACTTCTAAGCTGAAGAGCTAGAGTTGTTCATAGATGCCTCCTTGGTCATGTGGCCAGCATGACTGCATGGAGTGCCGTTACCTTCCTGCCAAAGTGGTACCTATTGATCTACTCACATTTGCATGTTTTTGAACTGCTAGGTTGGCAGAAGCTGGGGCTAACAACAGGAGCTCACCCTGTCCCATGAATTTGAACCACTGACCTTCTGGTCAGCAAGTTCTGCAGCTTAGCAGTTTAACCCGCTGCACTACCACAGCCCCAATGGTATGACTTTTTTATTTTAAATAAAAAAAGTCTTATTGTTGTCCCTACACAGGTTGAAAGTCTCTTATCTGAAAAGATGAAATCCAAAATACTTCAAAAACCATTATTTTTTTTCTACCAGCTGCCCACTTCTTCCATTGGGGAAAGAGGACACATTCACTATCTGCCAACGGTGGTGCGTAATGGGACGGACACTCTGGAAATGGGCTGAATCTCAATCATTGGGTATTTGTATGTGGCAGGAAAAGTTTCATGTCAGACAGAACTGGTTTGCTATTTTCCTTTATTTTTTCCCCTTCAGGTACTATTCTCATCTACACATCTATTTAATTTAAGAGAATTCAATAGTAATTTCTTGAACTAAAAGATCAAAAATCATGGTGCTACCCAAGCAATTCATCATGACTGAGGAATTGTTAAATTCTGGGAAATGTGGTTAATTTCTTTCCTCCAAGACCTGCTCTTCTTCCTCCAAATTTATACTGAAGTTCTACCAAAGATAAGACCATCCAGCAACTCAGCATTCAAAATGCAAATATTGCTCAAAAAGAGTGCTGAAAAATAAGTGCCCTCTTTTAAGTTTGTTCTGGATTCCCACTGTATGATCTATAACCATGGGACCCTGGCTAGATATTCTTCATAAAATGGACCCCATCTGATCCCCACCTAACAGTGAGTTCCTTTCACCATACCTGTGCTGAAGAAAGTGGTCTCCAAAAAAATGCAGTTCCTAAAGTATGTGTTCAATGTAGTAACATCTTCAAAATTACAGCTCTTAAAAAGTGTATCTTGAAAAGTAACTGCTTTAAATTTCATCATGGTGAACCTGACCAATAGAAATAATTTGTAATCAGCTTAGAATATTATACATTGCAAGAGACCTTATTTTGAAAGCAATTTTTCAATTGATGCTCTGGCATTATATGTCACAATGTGATCATCCAAACTGTGGCAGTAGTAATTAAAAATAATCAAATAATCCATAATTTCCAGGCTCGTATATTTAATATTTTCCTCTTGTATGCAAAATCCTTTATCAGATTCTGATAACCATGCCTTGCTCCGCTGTGACAATCAACCACACTATAGTTGGCATTAACCAGGGCCTGCCTCCAACCCATCATTTGAAAACAATGATTCAGAAGTTATCCCTGGCTAGTGCAAATCATATTTCACCTAATTTATAAAGTAGAGCAAACAAATGTGAATATAAATGAAAAGAAGGGTTTTAAGGGGGGGAAAGTGGGGAGCAGGCATTTGGCAATCAGAACAGCATCAATATTCTTGACACTCATACATACAAATGAAAAGGAAACATTCCTGAAATATAACAAGATACAATGATACAACATAAAATGCAATATGTTGCTCATAATGAATTGCTTGAGAGGGCTGCTGTTACTATAAAGTGTGATAAGATATTGAATGTTGCCCTGGGTTTATTGAATGATAATAAATATGTAAATGTAAAGATGTCTTAGCTGGATGAGTGTTCAATCCTTAGCCCAACTGCCTGAGATAGCTATGAACGTGTCACTATGACAAAACACATATACACAGATTGGGCCACAGCAACGCGTGGCAGGCGACGGCTAATAAATAAATAAAATAAGAGCTAAATATATCACTCTTTTAGGTGTGCTGAGGTCAGATCTCTGTTCTTAATCCAGAGTTAAATTATTAAGAGTAAGACTCCCCAAACCAAGAATAGTAGTTAAGTGGCTAAAAACCCTTCATTGTTAGGAGTGAGGACAATGTCTGGATACCAATGCATTACTAGAGATTTGTTTGGGAAGGTAAATAGATTGTTTATCTATTTCAACCTGTCATTGATGAATGTTCCATTGAAGTGGATCTGATTTTCCAAAGTAAAGTTGAAGTCAAAATCTATTATCTTCTCATTTTCAAAACTCTTCCTCCTAGAAGCGTATTCATCTGCTTGAAGATGCTTGATTACATCTGGAAACCAGACTGACAATCCATAGTAGCTGTGAAGAGCAATGAGTATAAGGTGAGTAAATAGAATGGTTTATATGTTTTTATCTGATATGTATTTTTAACCTATTGTTTATATATGATGTTTTAAAAGTTGATTATTGTTAGCATTGAATTCTTGCTATTACCCGTTCTGAGTCCCTGTAGGGAGGTAAAGAAGCACCTCAGAGGAATATGTTTAATACATTTTCTTTAAAAATAACTGAAACCCACAATGTGTACTTGCACTGCAACACAGCCCCTGTTTTCTTGAATATGCACTGATAAAAAGTAATACAGTAAAGTCACGCTTATCTAACATAAACAGGCCAGCAGATTGTTGGATAAGCGGAAATGTTGGATAATAAGGAGAGATTAAGGAAAAGCCTATTCAACATCACATTATATTATGATTTTACAAATTAAGCACCAAAACATCATATTTTTCCAACAAATCGGCAGAAAAAGCAGTTCAATACACAATAATGTTATGTAGTAATTACTGTATTTACGAATTTAGCACCAAAATATTGCAATGTATTGAAACAGCTGTGGATCCAGGCAAGAGGCACACTGCGTTGGATAATACAGAACATTGGATGAGCGAAGGTTGGATAAACAAGACTCTACTGTATTTTAAAATACAAAGGCTGCATTCAGATGCAACACAACATATAGTGTTTAAAAAACCCAAGCTTAGCTTCCCATTCTGGCTTTCTCTCACCTGGTTCCTTGTGCTTTAGATTAACCATGCCTCAATGTGGTTGCAGTGCTACACGGTGGTGAATTTTAATTGTGAGTAATGAAAACAAATAACTTTTAATCTATTCCAAATATTCTACCCTGAATTCTAATATCTGTGAAAGTGGGACAAAAAACCTCTTTGTTTGAAAATTCCTTCATCAGGTAAAACTTCCAACCCATTTTTACCACACTTCAATAAGTAGGATTAAAATACAGCAAGGAGAATACAATCCCATTTAACCACGATGGATTTGTCTTGTTATCCTTACCCAAAAGAAAGTGTAAACCATACTGCTGCAAGTTTGGTTGTATTGTCCTTGACTGGATAGGTGAAACATCTCATAAATGTTAGCCAAATCTGTGAAAGATTAAGAATATTAGCATTTATTTCTAAACTCTATTTAATTAAAATATAAAAAGACACGTAAGTTTACAACAGGATTATCAAGTGTATGGCCCTTCAGAAATTGTTTAGCTTCCACTTCCAGAATTCTTCACCATTGGCTCTGCTGGGCGGGGATGTTAGGAGTTGCAATTCAATAATATCTAAAGGGTTGCATATCTTGGAGAACCAAATGTGAAGCATTAGAATTACCAGGTCAGGTCTATGCATTGATGAAAGTGAATGGCTTTTTTATCATGTCAGAAGTGACTTGAGAAACTGCAAGTTGCTTCTGGTATGAGAATTGGACATCTGCAGAGACATTGCCCAGGGGACACCCGGATATGTTACCATTCTGTGGAAGGCTTCTCTCAAGTCCCCGCATGAGAAGCTGGAGCTGAAAGATGGGAGCTCACTCCATCTCGTGGATTCGAACCACCGACCTTCAGGTCTGCAGTTCAGCAAGTACAAGGGTTTAACTCATTGCACCACTAATAGCTAATTGAATGGTTTGTCTATTCCACTGTATCTTCAACTATGTGTTCCAACCCCAAATGTGGTCCCCTTAGCTCAATGTTGACGTCTTGAAGTGTAGGGTTTTCTGAATATCACCTAGTGGGTGTTTTAAACATTTACACAAATCTGATGTGCAGTGTTTATAGTGAACTCTCAGAAAATGCTTCATAAAAAAGGAAACTCAGCCTGTCAGCAAGCCTTGCAAATGCTGATTTGTTAAAAGTAAATGTATGATGTTTGTACCTATTTTATCTATACCTATATATCTGGGATCATATAAACATTTCTCGGGTCAAAAGGAGTCCGAAGTGGATAGGGTTTAAGAAGCCGTGGTCTGTGCAATAATTTATTACAGGAAAACTACACCAAGGGATGGTTTTTTCTCCACTGATAAAATTGATAGCAGTGAATTGTTCACGGTCTCTGAAATGTGTGACTCCAAGAACAGCATGTGACGGGGGATCTGGCTAATACGATTGGCATCGTTCCCTAAATTGACACGGGCATGCCAAGTCTTTCAACTTTTTTTTGGTGCTGATGGCATTATCCTTTCTTTCTAGTAAGAGGGTGGCCAACCAGACATTTATAATTTTAGCTGTATTATTATCTGTTTCTGCCATACAATAATATTAATTTCACTAAAAGTATTTAGCATCAGGGAGGCAGAAGCAAAGCCTTTTTCTCGCAGTCTCATGGAGCTACAGTTTTAAGGAGTTCGAAATGAAAAACTACACACACAGAGTGATTCTGGTTTTGATTAGTATTCACAAATAGTTGGGATTTTAAATTTTATTTCTGTTTTGCCATAATATGTCAGAAATACAGAAGCAGTTGAAAAGCATGAAATGGCAGTAGGGCAGGTAAGGGGAGAAATGCTACTTGCACTGAAGTAATACATACAACTACCTTAAGGAGGGTTCTGTAAGATCTTAATTCCAGGATTTTAAATACTCCAGCAATAGCATATCTCAGGTGATGTATCTCCTTCTCTTAAATCAGCTACACCAGGATGTAAAAAATTTGGACTGCCTTGATCCAAATGTCTAATCCCCATAACTGCAGGAAAGCCAGAGTTTAATTTATCCAAGTCTGATAAAATATGCCCTCTATAGGAATTTTCTAGGTCCTCCAGTGCAAGTCTATAGTTTCTTGTCCTAGAAGTTCTTCATTTCATTATTACTAACAGGTTTGCATATCAATGGGAACATAGCCCTTAAAGATACAATAGTTGTATTGTATATTTGTGGCGGAAAGGACCAAAACGGATTGTACAACCCATAATCATTCCTGGGACTCTCCACATGTTACAGTTATAATGCCATGCTGTACTGTACCTGTTCACAAGAGATCAAGTCACATTAAAATCAATGAGAACTATTTATGTGAATACATGAATAGAATTATGCTGTTAAATATAGTGCTGTGTTAGAAACACGATGAAGTCAAGGTTCAAATCAGCAGTTAGCCATTGAGTTTACTGAGTAACTTTAGCCAGCCACATTGCATTAAAAATTGTGATTAAAGTTGAGAGATAAAAGTTGAAGTTCTAGGAAGTCAGACAGGATGAAAGACCATAATAAAATAAAATCAGGACATCATCTGAAAAACACAAGAGCATGGAATAATCCTTCCATCCATGTGTGTGTGTATACACACACACATACCAGATCACCTGTTCTAATCAACTTTCTTCTGACATAAATGGCAATGTGAAAACAGGCATGTTTCTCTAGCACTATTTGCATCTTAGCACAAATAATATTCTTAAAAGATTACATTACTTACACCATCCAGCTCTGTGCGCACTCTGACATAACACCTCTTGTACCAAGTTCCCGTATCACTTTCGATCTCTATAAGCTCATCTATCTGCTTGGGAGTTTTGATCCTATTAACCTATAAAGAATACAGTAAAGCTTTTTATGTTCTTCTCACTTTGAAGAAATGAAGATATTTCACTGGTAAAGGAAATCATCACATTATCCAAAAGAGGTCAAGCAAGTGGCTTCATGAAACACTTTCCTTAAACAAAGCAATTAATCTTGTCTAAAGTGCCTTTACAATACAACAATACATAAGTATAAATACAATGGCATAAGTGTAATCAACAGTGCACAAAAATCTCATTAATAAAATTATAGAAAATAGAAAATTATAAAATTCCTAAAACGCAGTATGTGGCAACATACTAGGTGACAAGGTGGGTTTTTGGGGTTTTTTGTTTACAGTAACACACTCTATCCATGCTTACTTTTGCAAATCATTTAGAAATCTCAGTGGGTCCAAGGTATTAAAGTTAGACTGTGGCCAGAATTGCTTATAGCGAGAATAGAAACCCATTTTAATGTATGATTTCACTGGCTACTGTTTCCAGGCGCAATTCAAATTTTTCATTATGACCTGTGAAACCTGTACTTCTAGGGTCCAGACATTCAGAAACATGATATCCAGTGTCCTGTTAGCAACACATAGTTGGCATAATAAACACCCTTACACCATTCTCTTTTCTCATTCAGTAATATTGCACAATTACACAACTAAATTCACAGTTGTACAAACAGCCACAATGCATAAGGTATCTTGGAATGAAATATAATACCTTGATCTGTAGCTATTTGAACTGTCTCTTTGCAGTTGTCATTTGACTTTGTGAAATGGGAGTGCACATCAGTATAATGTTGGGTTGCCATTGACTGTACAATATTGTCATCTGCTATAAGGGTGGCATAACACAATGACTGTCTAGCTCCATTGGAGTTATTGTACATTATGCCACCCTGATATAGGATCCCAACCTGTACCTCCCTATATGTTGCTGCCAGACTTCTAAGGTTTTGCTGAAGAGTTTCTTAAAATCTGTCACTATAGTGATGACTACTGTTTCCCCTCTCCCACTTTTTGTTACTTTTTGATATTTCCTGATTATTTTTTATTTGGTTTTAAGCTGGTAAATTAATTGTAAATGTTTCATCAATGTCCAAGTTGACTGATTTTAGCTATATTCTGCTCTAATTTATACTGTAATTTTTTTTGGGTCCTCACTGGGTCTGTACTGCTGGAAATAATAATAATAATAATAATAATAATAATAATAATAATAATAATAATAGCAGCCCACCCTATCTCTCCAAAGGGACTCAGGGCAGTTTATAACAGAGTAAAACATATTGGGAAACATTTATGTATGTATGTATGTATGTATGTATGTATGTATGTATGTGTGTATTTATTTATTTACTTTGCTTATATACCGCTGTATCTCAAGCCTGAAGGCGACTCACAGCGGTTCACAAACAGTAAAAACAGTAGAAACAGCAGTGGTTCCATACAACATATAACAATTGACTTAACACATTATCCATAAATTACCAATAAGCAATTACAATGCACAATTATTACAAAAAACAACCGTACCCAATCTTCTCATCATCCAAGCGTAGTCCAGGTTCGTCGTCCATTGTTCCATTCCTATGTTCCATTACCAGATTGCACTAAATTACTCAAACGCCTGCACAAACATCCAGGTCTTCACCTTTTTGCGGAATACCATTAGAGATGGTGCTAGTCTAATGTCCGTAGGAAGGGCGTTCCACAGCCGAGGAGCCACCACCGAGAAGGCCCTATCTCTCATCCCCACCAGCCGAGCTTGAGAAGCAGGCGGGATCGAGAGCAGGGTCTCCCCGGAAGATCTCAAAGTCCTGGTGGGTTCATAGGCAGAGATGCGGTCAGATAGGTAGCTTGGGCCGGAACCGTTTAGGGCTGTAAAGGCCAACGCCACGCACTTTGAATTCAGCCCGGTAGCAGATCGGTAGCCAGTGGAGTTGGCGCAACAGGGGGGTTGTATGCTCCCTGCGCTCCGCTCCTGTTAAAATCATGGCTGCCGAGCGTTGGACTAGTTGGAGCTTCCGAGCTGTCTTCAAAGGCAACCCCACGTAGAGAGCGTTGCAGTAATCTAAACGGGATGTAACCAGAGCATGGACTACCGTGGCCAAGTCAATGCCAAAGGTACAAATAACAAATCAGAAATAGCTTAAATAAACAAGACACAATTCAATCACACTCTTAACATATTAGATCCTTAACAACTCTTAAAATTCGACTAAAATTATTGTGGCTAATATGGTATACAGCAAATTAATGAAGTTAGATATTCAACAAAACAAGGCAAGGCACATATAAGGTGCAATTAGAAAGGAAAAATGACTTAATGAATGATTTCATGATTGAGTTATTATTGTGTAAAACACACTCACTGTGAAAACTTTTTCAGGCTGGCCACGAGCACGCATATTTGTATCATGAATCTGTTTGAGAATCATCCAAGCTTCATCGTGCTTTCCAGTCTGCAGACAAGAAATTTGATAAAATCATACATATTTAAACAGACAACCAGAGGACTAATGTTTTGGGAATGCACATGATTCAGAAAGCATACTTTTAATGTATCTCATTTATTTATCTTCAAATAATTCTGCCGCTAATAAACTTTATATTCCAGAATTCACCAGGCATCTCTGTTCTCTATCTAGTTTCAATATGACATAGTAATAGAGAGTTAACCCCAGGTAGACTTGAATAAGCCATCACTTAGCATAACCTACTTTTACAAGTATATTATGAAGATAAAGTGAATAACTTACAGTTTCATAAACTTACACATTTTAGGCCAGGTCCTTTCCAGGCAATTTACAAAATAATAAATTGGGTCACACATCATACTACAAAAATAATAAATAACATATATTTTCCTTTATTTTTTATTATTCATAAATGCCTGTTCGAAATCTTTGACAGAGCTTCTTCTCTCAGTCCTGCCACCATCAGAGGGTACTTCCTTTCACGGGATGCTTAGCTGTCTCCCTTTCAGTTCTCCTTAATATCATCCACTGTTTAATTATAGTTTAATATGATAATTTTTGCATCTTTTATCTGTACCTGTTTTTAATCTCATTTTGAAATTGTTGAGTCCTAGTTCTGAGAGAAAGGCACAATACACTCCCAATACATTCATTCATTTTATTTATACCTCACTTTTCTTTCTGTTCCAAAGATATGGGGTCTTGACTAAAAAGCCCTGTGCTGCTCTGTCTTAATGGCAGGCCAGAGAGCCTGGGCTCCAAGGTTAACTTTAACACCTAAACAGGTTAAACGTGTTGAAATAATAAAGGTCTTTTACCTCAAGCAAGAACCTTGGGCTTTCTGGCATAAATGTAAGTGCCACCACAGCACAAACGCAGGGCAGAGCGCACATAATAACAAACACTCGCCAGCTATGAAACTGATAGGCAGAACCCATGCTGAAACTCCAACCTGGATAAAAAGGAAAAAAATACATACACACTGCCTTTAAAACATGTTGTATTTGAAATATTTTATAATTTGATTGATCAGTTGCATTGATTCCTCCCCCCCCACACACACTTTTCTATAATATGGGATGCAGTGATCTTATATGTTAAAATGCATTTAAACAAGATAGCTTAAACAATTGCAATATGAAAATTAAAAATTCACATGAAAACATTAATTTAAATATTGTTAATTAAAATCTCTTATAGAACTGTTAATATTGCATTAAAATCTCTTACAGAACCGGTATACCCATTGTACTACCCCAACTAGTTAAAACTTGAACTGTGTCATTTTAATAATTGACTAGCCGTCCCCTGCCAGGCATTGCTGTGACCCAATCCGGTGATCTGGAAAAATAAAGTAACGAGAAAGTGTTGATTTCTAATATATGTTACGTTTTATGCTTGTGGGTAAACAGTATTTCTTGTTGTTTCTTTGTCAGTGTTGATGTAGAGATTGTCTGGTTTGCCTACTCTGGAACATGCAACATATAATTGTCCTTCTTTAGGGGTCCCTTTCAAATCTACGATACTATATCTGTCATATACATATATGTGTGTGTGTGTGAGAGAGAGAATCATATATATCCATCTATATCTATGGCTGGATGGCTCTTTGTCAGGAGGGCTTTCATTATGGGAGTCCTGGTGCCAAGTTTGGTTCAATTTCATTATTGGTGGAGTTCAGAATGCTCTTTGATTGTAGATTAACTATAACTCCAAGCAACTATAACTCCCAAATGGCAACATCAATTTTTGAGTGATGGTAATTCCTTGGGTTAGTAGGTGTCTTGTGGCCAAATTTGGTGGCAATGAGTCCAATTAGTTGGCAGAAGATGGGCCTAACAGCGGGAGCTCACCCCGCTCCCTGGATTCGAACCTACGACTTTTCAATCAGCAAGTTTAGCAGCTCAGTGCTTTAATCCACTGCGCCATTGGGGGCTCCAAATAGCTATGTAGAATCATAGAATCATTGAGTTGGAAGAGACTTCATGGGCAGAGGCGGCCCTAGGTAATTTTCAACGGTAAGCAAACAGTATTTTGCCCCCCCCCCAAAAAAAAACCAATCACTGATATATATTTTCTGTTTGTTGTGGGAGTTCTGTGTGCCATATTTGGTTCAATTCCATCATTGGTGTGTTCAGAATGCTCTTTGATTGTAGGTGAACTATATCTTCCAGTAACTACAACTTGCATATGTTAAGGTCTATTAAGAGCGCCCCTGGGCAAAATCAATTATACTGCAAATGCTTACTTTGCGTAATGGGTTGAGCCGCCCCTGTTCGTGGGCCATTCAGTCCACCCCCCTGCCAAGAAGCAGGAAAATTGCATTCAAAGCACCCCCAACAGATGGCTGTCCAGCCTCTGTTTAAAGCCTAAAGAAGGAGTCTCCACCACACTCCAGGGCAGAGAGTTCCATTGCTGAACAGCTCTCACTGTTAGGAAGTTCTTCCTAATGTTCAGGTGGAATCTCCTTTCTTGTAAAACTCAACCATTCCATCCTTGCAGGTGTACCCATCAGTCCCAAGGGCCTGAGAGAGGGAGTCCTGAAATAATTTGTTAAATAATTTATTACCATCCAAGTCTTCCTTCTTCCTTCCTTCTTTCTATTTTAATTCAATATTATATGTTCCACAGCATAATTATATACAGACACGCTCATGAATATCCTCCTGCCTTGGGCATTATTCAGTTTTATCAGCACTGTTCCAATACCGCCTTATGTATTAAGACAGTAAATCAGAGTATTACAAAACATACAGACACACAATCTTCTGGTTATTTTAATTGCGTGGAAGAAGCTCACATCCATACCCTTAATTCTACCATATTGATCAAATTGATGCCATAATATATTAATTAGGCATTTAAACTTCCACAGGACTCTTTTGCAAAAGTTCCCGCAAGAAACGAGCAGGGCCACTCTTCTGACAATTATCATTTTTAGAACTGATTCTAAAAATGTGTCTTGAACAGATTCCCCTGAAGATAAACTGTGGTGTCAGCTCCAGCCCTGCTCTTGGCTTTTATCCAATTTGCATCTGCCATCCCTTCTTTGCTACACAACAGGAAGATATATGCGTTCTTTGTCTGATTCATTCAGACGGCAACGGCGCTCTGCAGAGTTAAACTTCACCCTTGCTCTCTGCAAATGCTGAATTCCAAAGTCATTAATCTTAAAAACAGCAGCAAGTTACAAGGGCCGACAGGTTGTTAAAACAAAAGGCCCAAGTGCATCTTGGGAATGGTTTTCTGGAGCTGTAGTATAAAATAAAACCTATAGTAACTGCCTTTTTTCAGCTGCTGCCGCTGCTTCACATTGAATATCACCTTCTCACTCTACTGATTACAAGGAATGACCAAATGAATCACCCAGCCTTCAGTGACAGATTACAGAATGATATTAGCGTGAGACAAATCAATGGTAAAATATACAAAGATTCTAATTTACATAAAACCGTGGAATTAAATATCAAGCTGCAGCCAATGCGAGTTGCCTTCCCGCTCTTCAAGATGCGTTCTTCATTTTCAGCATATTGGATAAAAACTGATTAAGCAAAACATTTACAGAACAAAAGCTTTCCAAAATAATATTTTAGCAGCAAAGGAATGGCAGTTCAAATGATTAAACAAAGTAAACACATTAAGATGCTTAATGTGTTGTTCACTAAATCTAAGACAAAGTAGTCTTGCTTTTAAAAAACGATCCTGCGGGAACCCAAATATTTTCCGAAAGATAACCAAACACATACAAAGACTAGTATCTTTGGCTGGAATTGGTTGAATCCAGTTGAGTCCTTCTTGAACTATTCACAGTGTTTTCTCTTTTAGATACATGGCCTTAATGTCCTTATCACATCACATTGTTATGCTGTCATTTATTTATTAAAGTAGTTCATCCTTTGATCACCTACATTTCCTTACAGCTTCCCATTCTTAATTATGACTGCAAAGGCATTTATACACAATGGGGAAAGAGAGGTATTACACACAATAGGAAAGGGATTACAAAACCAGCATGGGCTGGGATTTCTTTTGTTTTGTTTATTCAAGGAGGTTAGTGGCAAAGCCGCTGGGTGGCACCCTTTTGGCACATGGGCATAAATGATCAGTATTGATTTCAACTTTTAAATAAATATTACGGACAATAGACATTCAAAGACATTTTTGGGGGTCTACTAGGCTTTGCTGAATTTTTCAAGTAAAGTTAAATTAAAGTGAAATCAGTTTTAACTGAGGGCTCCTATGATTCCATTGTAATTGATATTGCAGTATCCTATGGAATCTTGGGATTTGTAGTTTGGTCAGTTACAAGAACTCTCTGGCTTGAATGCTAAATGTTGTTGTTCATTCGTTCAGTCGTCTCCGACTCTTCGTGACCTCATGGACCAGCCCACGCCAGAGCTCCCTGTCGGCCGTTACCACCCCCAGCTCCCTCAAGGTCAGTCCAGTCACTTCAAGGATGCCATCCATCCATCTTGCCCTTGGTCGGCCCCTCTTCCTTTTGCCTTCCACTTTCCCCAGCATAATTGTCTTCTCTAGGCTTTCCTGTCTCCTCATGATGTGGCCAAAGTACTTCAACTTTGTCTCTAGTATCTTTCCCTCCAGTGAGCAGTCGGGCTTTATTTCCTGGAGGATGGACTGGTTGGATCTTCTCGCAGTCCAAGGCACTCTCAGCACTTTCCTCCAACACCACAGCTCAAAAGCATCGATCTTCCTTCGCTCAGCCTTCCCTAAGGTCCAGCTCTCACATCCGTAGATTACTACAGGGAATACCATGGCTTTGACTAGGCGGATCTTTGTTGCCAGTCTGATGTCTCTACTCTTTACTATTTTATCGAGACTGGACATTGCTCTCCTCCCAAGAAGTAAGCGTCTTCTGATTTCCTGGCCACAGTCTGCATCTGCAGTAATCTTTGCACCTAGAAATGCAAAGTCTGTCACGGCCTCCACAGTTTCTCCCTCTATTTTCCAGTTGTCAATCATTCTTGTTGCCATAATCTTGGTTTTTTGGTATTCCACCATAAAATGCAAATTCCAGTAAATGATCAGTACTGATTTCAACTTTAAATAAAAATTACAGACTTAATAGAAATTCAAAGACATTTTTGGGGCTGTATTAGGCTTTGCTCAATTTTTCAAATAATGTTAAATAAAGTGAAATCAGTCTTATCGGAGGGCTCCTATGATTCCATTTTAATTGACATAGCAGTATCCTATGGAATCTTGGGATTTGTAGTTTGGTTAGTTACACAAGCTCTCTGGCTTAAATGCTAAATAGTCCAGGTATTTAGCATTTAAGATGGTACTCCCAGGTTATAAGGCACTCATTAAGCTACTTGGGTACATCAGGGGATAAGCACTTTGGCTAATGATGCAACTGGATTCAAGCTGAAAGGAAGAAGACTTGTAGAGAATCTGACAAAACACAGGCTAGAACAGGCATGAATAAACTCAGTTCTGTGGACCGGATGCAGCCCCTTGGGCTCTTGCCTCCAGCTCCAGGTGTGTATCAGAGCCCTGGCCCCACCTGCCCAGTAACACGAGAGCTCTGTGCAGCTACGTGTCAAGCTCTCCTTTTCATGGGAGGACATAGTGTAGCACCATGTTCTTCCATGAAGAGGAATGCCCTGCAGGAACATGTGGCTGTGTGGGGAACAAGAGCCTTGCATAGCCAGATGCCAAGCCCTCTTCTTCGCAGGAGGATATGACAGGCCGCCGTGTCCTCCCACGAAGAGGAGCACCCTGCACAACAGACCTGCACAGCCACATGTGAAACCCTACCCGCATGTGAAACCCAGTGTCAAACCTTCCATGGAGTGTCTGATGGCCTCACAACTCTAGGGGTTCCTGGATTAAAAGGATTATCTAGACCAGTGGTTCTCAACCTGTGCTTCAGGGAGCCCTTGAGGCTCTGTGAGAGGTGCTCAGGGGCTCCACAGATACCCCATCTCCTCT